TACGGGCCGATGCAGAGCGCCGCCCTGCTGACCCCAGAGCAGCTGAGCGTGGTGTTCAGCAACGTGCAGGAGCTCATCGACGTCAACGACCGCTTCACAGAACACCTGCAGGACAGCATCGACCAGGCCTTCGACCAGGTGAGCCCCCCCTGTCTCTGTGTGACACACACGATGTCATGACCTGGATCAGGCAGTCATAACAAGTTGGGAGACTACACCATGTTCTACAGAATAGACAAACGGGTATAACAGCTTAATATTTGTGTATAAAGATTGTCAGGATCCTTACACTCCAAAACTCTGCAGCTCAGCTTTATTTATTTATAGCTAGGCTAACACTAAATAGTAAGCAATCCTTTATTACACCAAATTAGACCAGATAAAGTAACCAGATAACTATAAACCGATGAGGTGTGTGTGTGTGTGTGTGTGTGTGTGTGTGTGTGTGTGTGTGTGTGTGTGTGTGTGTGTGTGTGTGTGTGTGTGTGTGTGTGTGTGTGTGTGTGTGTGTGTGTGTGTGTGTGTGTGTGTGTGTGTGTGTGTGTGTGTGTGTGTGTGTGTGTGTGTGTGTGTGTGTGTGTGTGTGTGTGTGTGTGTGTGTGTGTGTGTGTGTGTGTGTGTGTGTGTGTGTGTGTGTGTGTGTGTGTGCCAGCGCAGGAAGAAAAAAAAGGGTAGACTAGAGCAGAGGTCGCGTTAACCAAATATTTTCCGTCTATGACGGATTTTTTTTAACAATGACGGACAAATCTGAAAGCAGTCCGTCATTTTGACAGATTAGAACAAACTCGGAACAGCGCCAAAGCTTCCCCGCAGCGAGGCTCCGGTGTTATGCCGTGTTATGCCTGCCCTCCAAAAAGAAAATCATACCGTTTCCAAACCTAACTGTGCCGCACAAATCATTGAAATGTCTGAGTATTGGCTTTTCTCCCACGAGGTGCAGCAGCCATGCATAACACGGCGCATGTGAACTGTCCCCCCCCGTTGACAGTTCACGAGCATGCTTCCCCCCCCCGGTCCCCCCCCCCCCACCGTCAGTCAGATTCTGGATTTTGACAGAAGTTTTACGATCCTGTCCGTCAAAATGACGGGCAGCGAAAAAGTCTAGCGCAACCTCTGGACTAGAGCTACCTCAGCACACAGGATCCAGGTGAGCTGAGTTCCTCCAATTATTGACCTGCAGCTGAGGCAGAGGTTAGAGACACAATAGCAGAGAGACTCAATGATGTCATCACACACATACACACACATACACACACATACACACATATATACACACATACACACACATATACACACATACACACATATATACACAGATACAGCCAACAGGGGTTACACAAGGTAGTCTGATTTGTAATGCTCTTAAGCTTTGAGCTCCAATAGTCTGATATTACATAAGTCACCTTCAGGGTCATATTTATAAAGGCAGTGTGTGATTCTAATCCAATACACTTTTAGATTTGGACTCAAATTATTGTGACTTGGACTCCTGTCGATTCCAGTCTTATTTGACTTGTGGTTCAGGGGGTAGTTTGGGTGTTTACTGATCAGAGGGTCAGGGGATCGACCTCCAGCCCATGCAGTCAACATGTCGAAGATCTTAACCCCAAGTTGCTCTTGTAGCGAGTCCATTTTCGATAAAGCATCAGCTAAATTACATTTAATGTAATAAAAAACTAATGACTTGGAAGTTAAAGACTTTACTCTAAACTTGACTTTAAATGTTAGATGTATTTAAAGTGTTGACATGTGTCTATGTAACGTTAACTGGCGTTATACACTGCTTCTGTGAACTGCAAACCTACAAACTGGCTTATCAAATTGCTTTTCCTTCGGTCAAGTATATATTTTTACGACAATTAGAGTAAATGCTTGACCTTTGAAACAAAAACAGATCCAGAACTGATACATAATGGACCTTGAGGGGGGAGATTGTTTTGTCAAATGCTGTTCCTAACTTGCAGATTCAATTTAAAATCTCTTTAAGTTCTCCAAAAACATTTCCATTATTGGAATTGAATTTGATAAAGATGATCTAAAACTGTAAAAGCTCCATAACAGCTAATGAATGGATCTTGTGGTGAGATTGTTTCATCTACCAGTCATTTGTCTTTCTTATAGTACCATCATTTTTACATTTTTATCAAAATATGGACAATCATTTCTAGTAAAAGCTGTGCAACACACAGTTTGCCACTTCTTCCTTTGCACTCGACTTAGTGTCTCCTTTTGGAAATATATGGGCGAAGATCTTAAACACTATAATAGAAAACAACTCTTTTGTTGTAAATGAGTTGCACATTAACCATATTCTCTCCTGTGGTTTCCCTCAGGGAGATGAAGACCTGCTCACGGTGAACATAGGAGAGATCTTCCTGGAGTTCGTCAACATGCTGCCGGCCTTCCAGACGTACTGCCTGCAGCAGCCCACCTCCGTCAACCTGCTGAACGCCCTGGAGAAGGAGAAGGAGCTGCTCAGGTACTGATTCTACTTCCTGTTAGTGTGTGCAGAGAAGTACACGCATCCTTTACTCAAGTAGAAGTACAGATACTCCTGTTTAAAAATACTCTGGTAGAAAGTAGAAGTACTGACTAAACTTCTTTACTCAAGTCAAAGTAAAGAGGCTTTGAAATGTACTTCAGTAAAAAGTACCCATAGCTAGCAGCTGCTTTAAAGAGTACCTGACCTCCCTTTATATGAATAGAACAATAATGTCATTGTTAGCTAATGAATGTTTCCATGCTGAACAACGGCAACATGACAACGTTTCCATTGGTCCCTCTTCTTTAGAGAAGACCAGGAAATGATGGATACACGGATCGTGTTCAAATCAATAGGCACGCAATGACTCTAAAGAATAATGATCACGCATCAAACACACATTCAGACTAAAGGAACCAGCTGTTTGGAAAATGAGAGAAATAGAAAGTACAGGTATTTGAGTTCAACATGTAAGAAGTAGAAAGTACAGGTATTTGTGTTCAACATGTAAGAAGTAGAAAGTACAGGTATTTGTGTTCAACATGTAAGAAGTAGAAAGTACAGGTATTTGTGTTCAACATGTAAGAAGTAGAAAGTACAGGTATTTGAGTTCAACATGTAAGAAGTAGAAAGTACAGGTATTTGTGTTCAACATGTAAGAAGTAGAAAGTACAGGTATTTGTGTTCAACATGTAAGAAGTAGAAAGTACAGGTATTTGAGTTCAACATGTAAGAAGTAGAAAGTACAGGTATTTGTGTTCAACATGTGAGAAGTAGAAAGTACAGGTATTTGTGTTCAACATGTAAGAAGTAGAAAGTACAGGTATTTGAGTTCAACATGTAAGAAGTAGAAAGTACAGGTATTTGAGTTCAACATGTGAGAAGTAGAAAGTACAGGTATTTGTGTTCAACATGTAAGAAGTAGAAAGTACAGGTATTTGAGTTCAACATGTAAGAAGTAGAAAGTACAGGTATTTGTGTTCAACATGTAAGAAGTAGAAAGTACAGGTATTTGTGTTCAACATGTAAGAAGTAGAAAGTACAGGTATTTGAGTTCAACATGTAAGAAGTAGAAAGTACAGGTATTTGTGTTCAACATGTAAGAAGTAGAAAGTACAGGTATTTGTGTTCAACATGTAAGAAGTAGAAAGTTCAGGTATTTGTGTTCAACATGTAAGAAGTAGAAAGTACAGGTATTTGAGTTCAACATGTAAGAAGTAGAAAGTACAGGTAATTGTGTTCAACATGTAAGAAGTAGAAAGTACAGGTATTTGTGTTCAACATGTAAGAAGTAGAAAGTTCAGGTATTTGTGTTCAACATGTAAGAAGTAGAAAGTACAGGTATTTGAGTTCAACATGTAAGAAGTAGAAAGTACAGGTATTTGTGTTCAACATGTAAGAAGTAGAAAGTACAGGTATTTGAGTTCAACATGTAAGAAGTAGAAAGTACAGGTATTTGAGTTCAACATGTAAGAAGTAGAAAGTACAGGTATTTGAGTTCAACATGTAAGAAGTAGAAAGTACAGGTATTTGAGTTCAACATGTAAGAAGTAGAAAGTACAGGTATTTGTGTTCAACATGTAAGAAGTAGAAAGTACAGGTATTTGAGTTCAACATGTAAGAAGTAGAAAGTACAGGTATTTGAGTTCAACATGTAAGAAGTAGAAAGTTCAGGTATTTGTGTTCAACATGTAAGAAGTAGAAAGTACAGGTATTTGAGTTCAACATGTAAGAAGTAGAAAGTACAGGTATTTGTGTTCAACATGTAAGAAGTAGAAAGTACAGGTATTTGAGTTCAACATGTAAGAAGTAGAAAGTACAGGTATTTGTGTTCAACATGTAAGAAGTAGAAAGTACAGGTATTTGGGTTCAACATGTAAGAAGTAGAAAGTACAGGTATTTGTGTTCAACATGTAAGAACTAGAAAGTACAGGTATTTGGGTTCAACATGTAAGAAGTAGAAAGTACAGGTATTTGGGTTCAACATGTAAGAAGTAGAAAGTACAGGTATTTGTGTTCAACATGTAAGAACTAGAAAGTACAGGTATTTGGGTTCAACATGTAAGAAGTAGAAAGTACAGGTATTTGTGTTCAACATGTAAGAAGTAGAAAGTTCAGGTATTTGTGTTCAACATGTAAGAAGTAGAAAGTACAGGTAATTGTGTTCAACATGTAAGAAGTAGAAAGTACAGGTATTTGTGTTCAACATGTAAGAAGTAGAAAGTTCAGGTATTTGTGTTCAACATGTAAGAAGTAGAAAGTTCAGGTATTTGTGTTCAACATGTAAGAAGTAGAAAGTACAGGTATTTGAGTTCAACATGTAAGAAGTAGAAAGTACAGGTATTTGTGTTCAACATGTAAGAAGTAGAAAGTACAGGTATTTGAGTTCAACATGTAAGAAGTAGAAAGTACAGGTATTTGAGTTCAACATGTAAGAAGTAGAAAGTACAGGTATTTGTGTTCAACATGTAAGAAGTAGAAAGTTCAGGTATTTGTGTTCAACATGTAAGAAGTAGAAAGTACAGGTATTTGAGTTCAACATGTAAGAAGTAGAAAGTACAGGTATTTGTGTTCAACATGTAAGAAGTAGAAAGTACAGGTATTTGAGTTCAACATGTAAGAAGTAGAAAGTACAGGTATTTGTGTTCAACATGTAAGAAGTAGAAAGTACAGGTATTTGGGTTCAACATGTAAGAAGTAGAAAGTACAGGTATTTGAGTTCAACATGTAAGAAGTAGAAAGTACAGGTATTTGGGTTCAACATGTAAGAAGTAGAAAGTACAGGTATTTGTGTTCAACATGTGAGAAGTAGAAAGTACAGGTATTTGGGTTCAACATGTAAGAAGTAGAAAGTACAGGTATTTGTGTTCAACATGTAAGAAGTAGAAAGTACAGGTATTTGGGTTCAACATGTAAGAAGTAGAAAGTACAGGTATTTGTGTTCAACATGTAAGAAGTAGAAAGTTCAGGTATTTGGGTTCAAAATGTAAGAAGTCAAAGTAAAAAGTCGTCAGAAAAATAAGTAGTGGAGTAAAGTACTGACACCAGAAAAATGTGCTGAAGTGCAGTAACAAAGTATTTGTACTCCAATACTTCCCACCTCTGAGTGTGTGTGAGGGAGATCTTACCCTGGCAGCTTTCTCTAGTTTCTGCCACGGCTGTTCTGTATAATTCTTAAAGGGAAAGACAGTTGGTTATCACTTATTCAGAAGAAGGGCTATTTTAAGAGCAGCGCTGCCATGATTTATATTTTTAGACAGAACCACCGCTCACCCATGAGTCAAGACTTCCTGCGATTCCCGTTAATCAACTTTTTAAGAGTTTTCCCAGGACAAGCACAGAATGTCTCCAATTTAAAGGCGACGTATCATTACAAATATGGACATAAATTGGTGTATCTGGAGTGCTTAGCATAAAATGATATACACTTTTGTTCTGCTAAAAGGATCTAATCTATTTATATATTTAATCTAGCCATCATCAGATATTTGCACAGCTAACAAGACATACGTTTGGTAGGGAGTTTGGGAATGTTAGTTAATGGTAGCTTTAACATTTGACACAGTTTGCCTAAACCCAAGAGTGTGTTGTGACAAAAAAATCTGACGAGTTCATCTCCACTTTCTCTCATTGGAGTTAAAGGGGCCCTATTATGCTAATGTTCAGGTTTCATATTTATATTTAGCTCCTCGACTGTGACATGTCTCCATGCTTTAATGTTCAAAAAGCTCTTTATTTCTCTCATACTGTCTGTGCTGCAGCACCTCTTTTCACCCTCTGTCTGAAACCAGAGCCCAGTCTGCTCTGATTGGTTAGCTGGCCGGCTCTGTTGTGATTAGTCAATCGCTTAGAGATGTCCCGCCCCTTAGCCTATCACCTACAATGTGTTGGAGCACTAGCCAATAGAAACGCGAGGGTTACATAGTGATCTCATTATGTCACAAAGTAAGCAAAGGAGTCCAATAGAGGAAACTCCCTCTCGAGTCAACACAGGGATTTTAGACTTTGCAGACCACACACAAAAACCTGAAAGACCTTAAAGCATGTTAACAGATTCTTGTAAAACCCCCCTTTAATTTTCTCTGGTTCTCTCTCTGTAGGATCTTCCTGGATGTTTCCCAGAACGACAACACCGCGCTGCGTCGTATGAACCTGCGCTCCTTCCTCATGGCGCCCCTGCAGCGTGTGACCAAATACCCGCTGCTCCTGAGCCGAATCATCAAGGTCACCCCCGAGTGCTACCCCGACTACTCCCGTCTCCGCGAGGCCAAGAGTCGCGTGGAGTCCCACCTGGAGCACATCAACATGAAGACCAAGCAGGAGGGCAACGGCGTCACCTGGTCGCTGCGCTCGTTCCGCCGCGACAGCCGCAAGAACCGCGAGGTCATCAACATCGAGATGAGGGAGGTGTCCATGAAGACGGTGGGCTGGGCGAGAGAAAACACCCGATTCGTGATGGAGGGTCCGCTGCAGCTGTCCCAACCGGCGGACGGGCAGTGGGTGAAGAAGGGCAGCAAGGCGCTCAAGTTTCAAAACGTCCAGAGTCTCCTGATGGTGAGGATACAGCGGGCCGGAGAAGCCCCAGGACAAGGCAGCGATTTGGGGGCTCGGGGGGATCAGGGAGAGGGTGGAGGGGACTGTATTCGAGATGGAGTTCTGGTTATAATCAAGGATAAAAGCAGCGGGAAGTTCACGGTGCTGAGAGAGCCGATCCGCCTGGGAAACTGCGTGGTGTCCACAGACCCAGGACTGCGAGGACACGTTCGAGGTGCTCGATATTCGGCGGGAATCTTTCGTTTTTCGCGCCTCGGACAAATCCCGCACCCAGCAGTGGTTCCACCAGATTAAGAGATACACTCGAGATTTGGGCACGTGGAGGAAAAGACGCAACGCTTTGCCCAACATCATGATCAACACGAACCAGACGCGCTCCTGAGAATAACTTTGCTACTCTGTAAATAACCCTTCTTACTGCGAACTGACAACGAGAAGTATTTCTGAGTGTTAAAACATGTTAGATTTCAGTTAAAAAAAGAAAATCTCAAACTCACCGAAGAGCACTTTTTACTTACAAAGCTACAAGTGCGCCATACTGTCAAAAAAATGATGTGTGAAGATTTCAAAGAAGATTCTTGGACTACCAAAAAAACTTGGGCTGTGCTCGTCAGCCTTGATTGTAAAGACTGTTTGCTCCTGGAGAAATGAGCTCTGTGCTTTCATTGAAAAAAAGAAGGTGTGTCTGTTGAAAAGCACGACTGAAAATGGCTGAAAAGAAAAATTGTAATGTAATTTCTTTTTTATACAAGGCGTAAAATGGGGGAAATGTTTGTTTTTGGTAATGTAGAGATGGAGCTTTGTTCAGTGGTTTCTGTTTGTGTTCACTGCCCTCTCCTGTCTGTGTGCCGCCCTCTAGCGTCCGTCGGCGGTACTGCAACGTTCACTGCCAGAGATGCAGCAGAGCAAACCTCCTGTGTGTTTAACAAGAACTCATAACAGCAATAATCTCTGCCAGTTATACAATGAGTAGCTACTGTACATGCATTTATTATCCCATCGTTTCCTTCGTCAGAGTCTTACAACTGATCATGTATGTTGGCGTCATTAACTTCATAATAACCCTGACCTGATAATCTTTTTTTAAAAGCAGTTTATGGGCAGTCTAGTCAATCTCCTTTAACAGTTTCCTGTTAACATCATGGCACAAAGTCAAACACTGCAGTTTTTTCACTGTGTGTCGAGCGCAGAGATTTTCAACCTTGCTTTCATGCACTAACCAAGACATTGGACAGATATATTGATATGTGTTTGATGTATTTGTACGGCTTGCAAAAATAATTTATTTGCCTTTTATACTAATCTGATAAATCGGTCAAAACATTGAAAATATAAAGGCTGAAAAATGCCCAGACCCTGAGAACAGTCTGGTCATTTCCTGTATTGTTTATTAAAAACTGCAAATTATAATCAAGAACGTGAAGGGAAGAGGCACATTTACATTAATTATTTAAACAGTTAGTCATCAAAGTTATTGATTTTGTGTCAATTAACAAATCTAGCAGTGCTTTATGTATTTATTACTATTATTCCATGGAATGCTCTTAACATCCCGATAGCAATGAATATATGAAATGCTTTGACAATAAATACATTTAAAAAAAAAAATGTGTGGAAGCCGTGGCGCTGTAAAAAGCACGACCAATCATCTGAGCCGGCCCGGCTAAAGTAACTGGATGGCCTACCTGCCTGTCAGCCTTCCAACTGTGCACAAACTTACCTCGTGCCCTCATTGGTCATGTGCGCGTTCGTGTGTGTTGGAGGAGGGGCTCTGTGAGGAAGTCTGAAGGAAGTGGCAGATTTATTTCGGCTGCGTACTTTCAAATTCTAGCGCACTCGAGCTGGTTTCTCCATTCTTACCTACCCTACCTTTAAGTACATTTAGTTAAAATTAAATAGATAAGGTTTGAAATGTCACACAATGACTCTATTCCCATTAAGCAAATTGGCACCGCAATAAATCTCCCCACCATTTTAAGGTTGAAAAACTCTGCTTACTTGACTTTAAAAATATATCTCAACCATCTGGTTCCAGCACGGTGTGATTTTGTGACCTAGCGATGAGCTGTTGTGCCTTGGTACTTATTACTGTTATTCTAAAAACGTACTGAATATTTGCAGCCTGTCACAGTAGCATTTACCTCCGACATGCGGACCACACTGTCGGCACTTCACTTTACAGGCAATATAATTACTCCTCTGACCCTGGCTGCTTTTCCTCTCTTATTTTACTGCTTTTTATTTATTTATGAAGGCTTTATTTTTGTTTAATGCACTTTATTATAAGTCAGTACTTACGCAGTCTTGTTTATTCTCAATTCTTTATACAAGAAGGGATTTATTAGCTGTTTTCAGCCGGTGGAGACAAGTCATCAAACCAAAACCACCTTTTAAGACTGAAACTGTTTTACGTTATTGATGAAGTAGCACTACAAGAGGTAGCGAATCACTGTGTTTCGGAGGGCAGGGAGCTCAGATTAAAAACCAAGCCTGCATTCGGTTTCTTTTGTTTTCCTCATTTAAAAGACCTGATGTATTATTTCCCCAATGTAATATATTGTGAAATATATTAAAAGATTTTAAACATGACATGTGTTCATTTTATGACGAGTAGAAATATATTTACAGTCATTTTTAAGCATCTTTAAGACAACTGGTTCAACCACAGGAATACAGACAGCACAAGTCAAATGCACTCCAGGAATCAAAAGGGAAGATGGAAAGAAAGTGGATTATTTTTCTAGACACCTAGCTCGACTACAGCACAGAAGCATTGGATGCTAACAGCAAACCTTCAAGACATTCCTCAAAGTGGAAAAGAAAGGAAAGCATCACATGCAGTACATTCTGACTATTGTGTTTGCAAAATGATTTCCAAAAAGTCTCAAACAACATATTTATTGGCACTGTTCTGCAAGAAAGAATGACAAGAAAAAAGGAATGTCCCTAGCTTTATCACGTGTAGTGCGTCTTTGTGTTTTCTTTGGCTCTCGCACTCCTGGAGCCTCAGTTATAGAAAAAAGAAAAAAAGGTATATGCAGATTTATCTTACCGATCAAAATCCAAACCAAGGCTACTTTATGAAAATCTAGTCTGAATGCTTGTTCCTTTGTTTGTTGTGTCAAATATGTCCTTCATTTATAAAGGCTCCTAGGTCTCAGTTTGGATTCATCCATTTTTCAACCATAACTCAGAAGCCTAAGAAATACCACCAGGCTAACACATTTTTGTTTTGACAAATAAACAAACCTGAGCGCCCGTCGTCTTGAAATCAAACATCAATTTACTAACAATAAACGGTTGCAATCCAACTCAGTGAAACCGTAACAGATGAAGCCGAGAACACAGATTTAAAAACAACAAACTGAACCTGCGATCTTGATCGAGGCCTCTGCCATCCATCTAAAGCACCTTTCATGCACACACACACACAGCCAGTCCTCAGGTTAGAGATCCCTGGGTCGTGCCTTGCAGGCGGAGTGAGGCTCAGCTTCTCTACTTGTCTCCTCCGGAGGTCTCGGCCTCCTTGGTGAGCCCCCGGATGGACAGGTCGTACACCACCTCCTCGATCTTCTTCACGTCGTACTTCAGGCCGTCGTAGCGTTTCCGCAGCGGGTCGTTCTTCAGGTTCAGAAGACGGAAGCCCGAGTCCAGCTCGTTGATGAAGTTGGAGATGCGGAGCGGCCGGGTGTAGTCTCCGGACGTGACGCTGTTTACCGCCAACCGTGACTGGAGGAGAAATATAAAATATAATCACAAGTTAACCCCAGAGGGACTCAACGTGCATGCAATGATCTGTTTCCTATTGAGAAGTCATTTTAGATGAAGTCCATAAAAGCTTTTAAGGCTTAAACGCAATGGAAACCACAACTCTAAGTATCAATCATCATTGCCCTTAATTGGAATTTGTCAACAACCAATTTGCACATTTTACAAAGTGCATTTAACCCGTTCTATCATATCAGACATTATCATCAGATGTTCTACTTTCTTCCAACAGTCCTTGAGCAGATGGGTCCTGCACAATTCTGTCATGAACAGTACCCTCAACTGAAGCTTCAAAATGGGATATTTAATCTAAATCAATCTCATTTAAAGTTCTGTCCAAAATAAGGTGTTTTTATTACCAGATCCTTTGAAACACTTCAAATCAACAGATGCTCGATTCTGTCATGAAAAGCAGCCAAATTAAAGCTACATTTAGCCCTTTATACATCTCATCTAAAACCCTGCTAAAAATAAGGTCGTTTCATTAACCAGTAATGTTTTTTATATGTATAGCTGCATGTGGAACCCCTATTTTCTTCGAATACTGATTAGGACTGTTGTATCAGGCTGTGTTATGGCGCGTTTCCACTGCAGCGGGGTAGCCCCGTTTAAGCGTCCCTAAGCGTCCTCGCTCAGGCCTCGGGCTGCCTCGCTGGCCGGCCCAGGCCGTGGCGCATTTCCACAGTTTAGGACCTGGGGTAGCAACGCAGTGTAGGCGGGGCGATCGGCTTTGTTTTTGTTCACATTTCGAGTTGTTCCGTCGAGCTCCCGCTGGATTTGATCATCCCCAATGAGATGTAGGAACGTCGTCACCTCCTCGGTCGACCACGGTGTGCTTTTCTTATTAGACGTAGCCATTTTTGTAGCTCCTCCGTTTACAAAATGCTGTTTATAAAAATGCTGCAAGCTTGCTTCTAAATATATATGCGACGCTAGGGATGAACTCGCGCGCGATCTTGTGACGATTCTCTCTGACCAATCAGCAGTCGAGAGTGTTGACGTCACTAGTTCAGCCCTGGCCCTGGTCTGAGGGAACCACGATTTTATGAGGCCGGAAAAAGAGGGAAAAAGTACCCGCTGGCCGGTACTAGGCTATATGGAAACGCCACCAAAAACCGGCCTGGCCGCTTGAGGACGGTTAAGGACGCTTAAACGGGGCTACCCGCTGCAGTGGAAACGCGCCATTAGTTTACCTAATAAACTAGTTCTCACTGCCTATGTCTTGACCTCTCCTATAGTATGCATTGCCATGAAGGAATGGATGAATGTTCTATATGATTTGAATGACTGATTGACCCACAGCAGTATTGTTTTAGAGTTGTTATATGTTTAACTGCTATGCCTGCCATCTCTGCTCTGCGTCATTGTGTTGTCTCCTGGGTTCTGTAGTGCCCGGAGTCTGTCTTTGTATTTCCTTCCTCCCAACCCCCATCCCCTCAGGAAGCCTTTTGCCTCCTCAGGTCATCATTGAAAATAAGAATTTGTTCTTAATTGATTTTCCTGGCTAAATGAAGGTTCTTCTAGGGCTGTGCAATTAATCGTATTTTAAATCGCAATTACAATTTTGGCCTGCCACAATTACGAAAACAACATAATCGAAAAAAACGATGATTTAGCTTTGCTAGGTTGTGACAGTGCACTGCAACATATTTGATCACATTTATTTATGTTTAGTATAGGGCCGGGACTCGATTAAAACAATTAATCTAATTAATTAGAGGCTTTGTAATTAATTAATCGAAATTAATCGCATTTTTAATCACATATAAATATTTGACCTAAGAACAGTGAGAAGCAATTTTTTTCACATGGATTTTAGTATACCATGAGGCGCATTCACACCGCAGTACTTTTCCCACAAAGGTTCATGAGAACTTAGTTCATGAGAACTCTTTGAACCTGGGGGAGGATTAGGCAAATGAAGCCGCTGACGTCACTTCTTCTTCTTCTGCATTGGGTTTACTGGCAGGCCGCAAACCACTTCACGGCGTATACTGCCGCCCAAAGTCCCCGGAGTTGGGGACTGGCTTCAGTAGAAGCTGCTGGGAGTCCCTGCAGCTTCTACTGAAGCCTTCCGAGTAAATCGCCAGAACGCCGACACCTCCTCATCTCCACCGCTCCCATGTTTTATTTTGTGTTGCCATAAGTTAGTCTCTCTGCGTTTCTGCGCTGGGCTAATGCTAATAATGCTAATGCGAGGATATGGCGACAATGGCGGCTTCACAAAACTTTTTGGGAGTTTTACGGGGCGTGGTTTGCAATCCGCCCAGCCAATCAGACATATAGCTCTCTTCTCACAAGAGAGCCGTACGAAAGTCCCTGCTCTCTAGCAGGGACTTTCGTGGGGGTAAAAAGGTTCACATGAACTAATTTTAGTACCGGCTCTTTTTGGTGTGAACGCGATAAAAGAGGCTAACTTCCACGCTAGCTGCTATATGTTTTGCATTGAGGTGATACTTGAGGCTTGATGTGCTGCGGTGATATGCAAATTCCTTTTTGCATAATTTGCACACAACCGTGCTCTTATCGACGCTTCCATCCGTCCGTTTTTTAAAACAACATTTCCCACTGTTGTTCACTGTGGTTTGTTGTTGTCTGAAGTCATGAACGTTAGTTGGTGCTCCAGTATAATCGGTACGCCTGAAACTCATCCAGTGAGAAACGTTCCGCGGTGCAAAAATAAGTGCGATTAAAATGCGTTAATTTTTTTAACGCGTTAATTTTTGTGTAATTAATTAATCTTAATTAACGCGTTAAAGTCCCGGCCCTAGTTTAGTAGCTTGTTGAAGTGCGCTCCAAAAATATTTGTTGATCTTGTTTATTGGTATTTATTATTTTGATATTATTTATTTAAATATAAATGTATCATTTATTTTATTTATTCGTTTTTCAGTTGAATTCTACGTTCAGGGTAATCAACAGTTAAAAAGATACTGTTCAAATTATTATTTTAATTTGTTTTAAAGTTCAATAAGTGGATGTTTTCAAAGTCAATGAATAATCGTATTTAATAACCGTGATATCAATTATTGACCAAAATAATCGTGATTATGATTTTTGCCATAATCGCACATAGTTCTACTACTACTACTAATACTGGTACTACGAACATTAGAGATCAACATCACACTCACCAGTTCACTGGCCATGATCAGCACCCCTGCCAGGTAGTCCTCCACGTCCAGGTGGAAGCCTTTCTCTCGCACCACCTCAACTGTGGAGAGCAAAGGGAAGAGAGAGAGTGAAGCAGCATCCCTCAGTAACACCTACACACCAACACACTGAAATATACTTACTGCCGAGGATCTTAGCCACTTCCTCCCGGATCACAAGAGCCTCCGTCTCCAGGTAGACGACGAAGGTCGCCAGGAAGACCAAACGCTGCAGGACAAACCGCCAGTGCTCATGGAACCTGAAGTGGGATCAAACAGAAAACAAGAGTTATGTCTTTTTTTATATCACCTTATTTGGCCTCGATATTCAATTCAGCATCAATTCTACTTTGCAGGGGTTTCTGGGTAAATGCATTAGACAAATTGTAAATGGCGACACAATTAAAGATATATAAAACCCTTAGTGGAGTCTACTGATCAACATATTGGACTTTGATTATAGGAGAATAATGTTTAGCTTGTAAGCTTGTTGCTGACTAAGTAAGATGTGAATTCCACCGGATACCAAGGAAGGAATTCTTAAAATGATAAATGCTTCAGATCCATAGGAATTAGTGTTTTGTTTGCTGAACTCACAAAAACATGTTCGGTGCATTTCTGCAGATCACCTGTATTTTAAACTATACTTGCTCTTTTGAATGATAGCCTTTCCAATCACTAATAAAAGTGTGAATTGAATGATTGTGAGAGAAGCAAACTGCAAATACTGTGCCGAGTGGATCCTACCTGTAGTACTGCTCCATAGGAAACTTGGTTTTGAGGTCGGCAATCGTGGTCCGGACCGTGCAGAACAACTCCCGGGCCCTCGCACATTTACTGGGAACTAACGGGAGGAAATCAACGTTAACAAGTTGTTGGGAAAATACTGAATGTCCTCTTCCAATCTGAGAGTAGCATGCTAACAAAGGTATCCCAACTGTAGCTGTGTGCATGACAGGATGTGTGATTACCGAGAAGAGCATTGACACCGTTGATCATCGCATCTTAAAGCAGAGGCTACTCAGTATCGGCATATCCAGCCATGCAGTGGGTGGTTTGTGAACTACCTCTCTGAAAGGTCCCAATGTGTTCACTTTGATGGGCTGTCTTCTGAGTGGTTAAACATTTCTAATGGTGTTCCTCAAGGTTCTGTTTTAGGTCCACTTTTATTCTCCATATATATCAACAGCGTAGGTGAAAATGTGGATGAAGCTACTTTACATTTGTATGCGGATGATACCGTGATGTATTGTGCAGGTCCCTCCATTAAAGAGGCTGGTGTTAAATTACAGGCTGTTTTAAACATTATTCAGACTCAGCTCTCTGAACTAAAGCTTCTTTTAAATGTGGATAAAACCAAGGTAATGCTCTTTTCAAAAGCTAAATAGACACCAGAGCCTGTTTTAGATATTGTAACTACGCAAGGAACAAAACTTGAAGTGGTTACCTGTTACAAATACCTTGGTATCTGGCTTGATGATTGTCTCTCTTTTAAACTTCATATCAATAACCTGCTTAAAAAGCTGAGGGTTAGACTAGGTTTCTTTTTCAGAAACAAGTCCTGTTTCTCGCTTGAGGCCAGGAAAAGGCTCTGTGACCTTTTGACCTGTGCTGGACTATGGTGATTTGTTGTATATGAATGCACCTGCCAATTACCTGAGCAAATTGGATGCTGCGTATCACAGCGCTCTGAGATTTGTGACAAATTGTAAAGCGCTTACACATCACTGTACCCTGTATGCCAAGGCAGGTTTACCATCACTCTCTGTACGGAGGCTCAGTCACTGGTACACTTTTATTTATAAAGCTATGTTGGGCAAACTCCCGTATTACATCTGCTCTCTGGTAAAGCAGAAAGTTGCAAGCAGCTATTGTCTGAGGTCGCAGGATGTAGTCTTGTTAGATGTACCAAGAGTAAGGACTGTTTTAGGTAAGACAGCTTTTATGTGCGCAGCTCCATTTGCTTGGAACAATCTACAGTCCAAATTGAAATTGAGCAATTTTATTTCTCTGAATGTTTTTAAGGCACGTCTGCACGAGATGCTTTCTGACGCTATGGGTGTTTGTAAGTGTTGGTGAATATGATGTCCTCTATTGTTTGTTTATGTTGTTTTATGTTTCATGTGAAACTAAATTGATGCAGGTCTCCCTTGTAAAAGAGATCCATGATCTCAAGGGACCTATCTGTCTAAATAAAGGTTTGAAATGAAATGAAATCAGGACTGTTTGAGGCAGATGATAGCTATGTGATTAACATGATGATTCAGCCTCTATGGAGAGAGACATCAAGCATGCTCATTTCTGACGTGGAGCTAATCTGAAGTAAACATTGAATACTGCTTTCTAGTCCTCCATCTTGTGACTGTGTAACTCCCTCTCTTGGATATCAGCATGTGAAGGACACTGCTCAGGAACTAGTTGATGCTCTGTGTGTGATGACTTCTTCCATTCTGGAGAGGATCAGAAACACATGGATCCTGAGATTGAAGCTCAAGCTGGTGACCAGTGATATGTTTCTAACACAAGTCAACAAGATGCATCGAGTCCCAGTGAAAAAAGGATGCTTACTTTCTTTGAATCCAGACGGCTGGTGCACGCTTTGGAGAACCGTAAGTATTTCTCTGGCAGTCTGCTCCAGCATCTGGACCACCTTACGGATATCCTGCAGCAAAGTTCAACCAAATCTTAAGTCAATACAACATGTTTTCTATTAACAGAAATACAAATGCAAAGCGTCAAATAAACACTATATATGAAGTCTTTCACACTGCATTTAGTTATCAGAATCAGAGTTAATTACAAAGTGGGTTTACACATACGAGGAATTTGCTTTGGTGTAAATACTAAGACACAGAAAGAAGAATACTTTTTATTTTAAAGTAGCAAAAAACGGCTATGCACTAAAAACACATAATGTCTATGTGCACAGCTGCTTAGCAATAACACAGTATGCTATTAAGGTCAGATCAATTAAAGGTAATTACTTTCAATTCAAGATGCAATGCTTTATTGTCATGTGCACAGTAGCTACAGTGTAGATAAGGCAATGGAAGACTTAAGTCACAGGCTCCTCCAACAATGCAACATGAATATATATATATAGGACAAAGAACACATAAGACTAATAAACAGATAAGCATTGTGTATTTTGATCAAAATTACTTGAGTAAATCTAGTTAGTTACTTAACACCTCTGCTCAAATGAAATAAATAGAAACGAGTTTGTGATAATATGATTTATATACATATCATGTACTCCCATGAACCTGAATGTGTCTTCATTGTGTTGACAGGATTCCGGTTAGCCGATAGCTAGCTGCGGAATATATATTAATATATTCATTAATATTGTTACCTCTCTGATGTCCTGGTCGGCGCTCAGGAAGCCCTGGATGTGACTGAACATCTCGGTGACAGACATTTCTGATTTTAGTCAAATGTTAATTAAGATACTGAAGATGAAACGTGTGCAGCAGCTAAGCTAAGAAGCTAACATATAAACATCAACGTGCTGGAAGCTGGAAGAGGAACCGCCTGCTTTATGTGGCGCGTGGAGATGATGTCATCATTTCCAACGTCACGCTGAATTATATTTTTTTCATCATCTAGTTTAGTTTATTACTTATTCAAGCATTATGTGTATTTTATTGTTGTGTTTCATGTGTTTGTTGTAAAGCACTGGTGGTAATATGTGCTATAAAAAATAACCTTTGGTACAATTATGAGTATTATAAGATCATACTATCAAAAATAATGTAATACAATGTTTGTAGATAGATGATAGATAGATAGGTAGGTAGGTAGGTAGGTAGGTAGGTAGGTAGGTAGGTAGGTAGGTAGGTAGGTAGGTAGGTAGGTAGGTAGGTAGGTAGGTAGGTAGGTAGGTAGGTAGGTAGGTAGATAGGTAGGTAGGTAGGTAGGTAGGTAGGTAGGTAGGTAGGTAGGTAGGTAGGTAGGTAGGTAGGTAGGTAGGTAGGTAGGTAGGTAGGTAGGTAGGTAGGTAGGTAGGTAGGTAGGTAGGTAGGTAGGTAGGTAGGTAGGTAGGTAGGTAGGTAGGTAGGTAGGTAGGTAGGTAGGTAGGTAGGTAGGTAGGTAGATAGGTAGGTAGGTAGGTAGGTAGACCAATGACTGGGAAACCATGGTTCTTATTTACAAGGCAGGTATGTGTTGGCTTGATGAACAGAAACAGCATGTGATGACTCTTCTTGTTCAGTCTGGTTGTAACAGAGATTCTGCATTACCTCATCCCTCCTGCTGATGGAGCCAGAGCATCTCTCTTCCTCATGTTGCCTTCAGGTGCTGCTGGAAAACCTACAGCTGTTCTCTTTAGATTCAGATTCAACGGTTTTATTCTCCTATGCACAAAGCTACAGTGTAGAAATGGCAATGAAATTCTTCTGACCTGAGCTCCTCCAACAATGCAACATATATAATAAAATACAAAATAAAAAGTAGTGCAAAAAGTCTATATACATGTCAATAGAATATGTACATACATCCATATACATCCTTGATAATAATTGGCAACACAAATATTATCACACTTTATGCTTTTTAGCAGATTGTTTTATTTGTTTGTTCACTAATCACCATGTACTTATAACTTAGGGAAACAAGTTGTATTCTTACTGGACTCTAGGCTCATCTAAACGTCTCACAAACACATGCATTTCTGACATAAAAATACATTTAAATAAGTACATTTATACTGACATTAATTATAAATACTCAAAGTATGTCACTACATTATGTTTTATTTACAAGATAAGTCAAACATGTGACTTGTTGTGACTATAGTGGGATAGTAGTTAATTACATTTATTGAATAATATATTCATATTGATCCTTATTCGGCATCTTTTCATACATATAATAAGACTAAGAAAAGACGATCTTGGTTTTTGAATACCACTCTTAAAAATGTTTTGATTTGAAAACCTTTGCCTTTTCAAACAATTATTATGTATGTATTTATTTAAATTATTGTTTTCCTGTGTATTTTTTATACTTTTAGATGTTTTATCATGGGTTATTATTGTTTCATAAGACCGTACCCTTGCGTTGTTTCGTCCTTTATTGTTTTATTGACACGATTTGATTTAAAATATATATATATATATAATGTTCTCTTCTGGCCACTTTGAAGACTAGCGACCACTTTGTGTTGAATCCATAATATTCTCTAATTTCCTACGGTACCTGAAGGCATCACCGTAGAGCGCAATTGACGCAGAGAGAGCAGTCAGCCTCCTGTTGCTCAGACTAGTTCACCAGACTGATCTCTGCAAGACAGGAGCTACAAACCGGAACATTCAGACTTATTCTCACTCATTGAAGTCTCTTATCCAAACCATAGTGTGTTTTTAAATGCCACTTTTGTATTCGTCACTTCGGGACTTTGAAACAATGCTGCTAAATGTTTGAGATGGAGAAAACCTCAGCAGAAGATGACTGCGTGGATTCAGGAGCCGAGACTGCAGGGTGAGAGAAGCAGAAAACATGTGATTTAATGTCATATTCATCATTCAGATGTTCTTATATTTCTTGGAGAACAGGTAAACATAGTTGACATGGTAATACAACTTTTACTATGTGGAAAACCAGACAGAAAAGATCATTCCAAGTATTTTTAGTTGTAAAAAATGTCTGAAAGCATGTTTTTATTTAGACAGTGTCTTCATGTTATCAGCCGATCTAAAGCAAACATGTGTTAACAATGAGAAATTCAATTATTAAAAGCTTCTCCTTGTCAAATAAGCGATACAACTTTAAATTGGCCCTTTTTTAAATGGAGTTTGGTGCTACCCAACTCATAATAAAGTTATGTGTGTATTTAATATACGTTATACACGTTCATTATGCATTTGTATCACAGTAAGGCAACAGCAAGACTTGTTGATTGATATGATTTGTATCCTTATGAGTATATAATTATTTCTTTAAATGCTGATTATCCTGGATTGCACCCTTGAGCTGTGCCAATACTTTATGTAAAGTCTAATGAGGGCATATGGAGGAGGTTTGATCCTAACTCTTTACTGGAAAGTGAAGTCTTAGTCAGCAAATCAGTTGTTGTTAAAGTACAGGCTAAGATGGAGCTTAATGGAAGAATGTTTTGACAACAGAGTTAATTTATTGTCCTCTTTGTTTACAGCTATTAGACAAAGATGTGCTTCTCATGTGGTATGTCAAATATGATGGATGTAGTGTTGTGGTAGTTGAGGGTGTGTGTGTGTGTGTGTGTTTTAGTGCCAAACCCTAGATGACCTTTAACCTCTTTAAATACATCATCAAAACTACTGACTTACATTTTTATTAACAAGAGTATATCATATTCAAGTATGAGTTTTCTACATTCACTAAATGTATTGCAAATTACTTAAAACATTAGGTATAGTGTGTTTCTTGGAAATGAAAGGATTTAATTGGAGTGATCGTTCTTCAGTAAATATCGAAACAAAAAGTATTGTGTATTCATTTTGTCAATATCACTGGGCTCTTAAACATCTATGGTTTAGAGATTCTTAAGGCTTTTAATTGGCAGGATGTGTAGTTTAAGGCTCTGTTAGCTATAAAGTATAATTAAATGTCAATTATTTATTATGGAAAATGCTCATTAATTGGCATTGTTAAGATTTAGTTCGGTGGTGGCGAAGTCGATAGGGACTTGGCTTGGCAACTGGAAGGTCACCAGTTCAAGTCCCGGCAAGACCAAGTACCACCGAGGTGTCCCTGAGCAAGGCACCGTTCCTACACTGCTCCTCGGGCGCCGTTCAAAATGGCAGCACACTGCTCCTAACACTAGGATGGGTCAAATGCAGAGAAACAATTTCCCCACGAGGATTAATAAAAGTCCATCTTATTTAAATGTGACAGATTCAGTCAATAAATTAGTTATCTGGTTATTGTTAAAAGTAGCTAAATAAAGTCAAGCTGCAAGGCAGACATGTATATATGAGGTTTAAGCATATAGAAAATAAACCTTTTGAATTGTAATACAGCAACTTCATTAAAGTACATGACAGAGACATAATACATTACATTACATTACATTGCATTTAGCTGACGCTTTTATCCAAAGCGACTTACAATAAGTGCATTCGACCAGGAAGACACAACCTTGAAGAAAACAGAATCATATAAGTACATCAGGTTTCATAGAGCCAAACATTTCAAGTGCTACTCAACTGGCTTTAGATAATCCAGTCCTTTATTAGTATAAAAGTGCTTCGTTAATCGTTCTAACGCTCGAAGTGGAGTCGAGCAACAACAGAGAGTGGACAAAGACAACAGAATACCAGGCCTAATGTTCTCCTTACTCTTCTATTGAAAGTTATTAAGGTGGGAAACGTAGTCCATCCGAACATCAATGAGTCACCTTCAATTACATTAGCTGTGAACTGGAACCAGCAGCATCGTGTGTGTGTGTGTGTGTGTGTGTGTGTGTGTGTGTGTGTGTGTGTGTGTGTGTGTGTGTGTGTGTGTGTGTGTGTGTGTGTGTGTGTGTGTGTGGTGTGTGTGTGTGTGTGTGTGTGTGTGTGTGTGTGTGTGTGTGTGTGTGCGTGTGTGTGTTTCATGGGAACTCATCAGCAGAGACCTCGGTGTGAAGCGCTGATGTGAGAGGGAAAAGCATGGCTGATAACCCGAGAGCCAACGCCTCCATCAGGTCACTTCCTCCTCCACTGGCTCCACTTCCTGTTCACCTCCATGTTCACTGTCTCTCCTGGATCACAATTAGACTCTATAGGCCTTTTATATACTTTAAAGAGGCCCTACTATGCATGTTGGTGTTTTCCCTTTCCTGTAGTGTGTTATTTAGGTGTTAGTGCATGTAAATGGTCTGCAAAGGCTACAATCCCAAAGTTCCCTCCTCAAACGCCTCCATTGGACTCCTTTCTACTTCCTGAACATAATAACATAATAATGTAACTCTTGCACTTCTATTGGCTAGCGCTCCAACACATTATACATGATAGGCTAAGGGGCTGGACATCTTTAAGCGGCTGACCAATCACAACAGAGTTATTTTTCGAAGTTTCATGGAAATTCGGCCAGTCGTTTTTCCATAATCCAGACAAACGAACAGACAGGTAAACAGAAACAAAATACTGGCGGAGGTAATTAAGATTAAAGCCCGCCTCATACATAAAATGGCAACTGTTATCATGTTCAACATTACATATAACTTATATAATATACATTAAAGTTGTGTTTTCAGCTTGTTCTCCTCCCCGAGTCGCAAAGAAGTTCTCCATTTTCTCCATTTTGGCAATCGTCTGAACGATATACTGTCTTGATGGAAGTAGCCTGACAATCTCGTAGTCTAACGTCCGACTGGTCAAATAATTGAGCGTTCTTTCAACAAAGGAAACTGTGGTTTGCGTTCCCTTCTCCCACCATCCCTCAGCATTAGTTTCTTTAAACTCTGACTAATGATTTTTCCAGAACATATCAAGAACTTTACCGTCTAACGCTCATACGAGTCACTGTTTGGAAAAGTGAGACGTTTGAGGGTTTATTGTCTTTCTATCGTACTCGTCTCCC